GGGGTAGATTCGGGGGGATTCCCTGGGCTGAGGGTAGGGGCGGGGGAGGATCCTGGGGCTGAGAGAAGGGCTGGAGATCCGAGGGGATCCTCCGGGCTGACACCCGGGCTTGGGATATGGGGGAATCCGAGAGGATCCCCTGGGCTGTGGGTACAGGGGGATTCGGGAGGATTCCCTGAGCTGGGAGTGTGGGGGTATTCGGGTGAATTTTCTGGGCTGGGGGTACGGGGGGATTCGGGGGAATTCCATGGGCTGAGGGGAGGGGGGAGAATCCTGGGGCTAAGAGAAGGGCTGGAGATGTGAGGGGATCCTCCGGGCTGACACCTGGGCTTGGGATATGGGGGGATCCGAGGGGATCCCGTGGGCTGTGGGTACAGGGGGATTCGGGAGGATTCCCTGGGCTGGGGATACCAGGGGATCCCGGGGCTGAGACGCAGACTGGAGATCTGAGGGGATTCCCCAGGCTGAGACCCGGAATGGGGGTGCGGGGACATCCCATGGGATGAGGTGTGGGTGAGGGGTAGGGGGGCATCCAGAGGGATCCCAGCATCATTCTCCATTGTCTCCTCCTCCCCTCAAACTCCTAGAGCCGGGTCTTTTCTCACTAGGATGATGCTGGCACATCCCACCCATTCTCTCCCGGGCACTGCTGAAATGCCATCACCACCATTCTGAGAGGCTGTGGGTCACTGGTGTTGGGATGCAGCCACCAGAACGACCCCAGGAGTGGACTGGCCCTCCTTTGTGACCATTCCCACCCCACCACCTTATCCCAGCTGGGTTTCTGTCCCTTCAAACCCCTGATCCCTGCAGACACCTTCCTGCTGCAGGGCTGGTGTGTCCCAGCGTTTTCACATTCCCACCTGTGACTCTGGAAACGTGCCTTCTCTCTAATGACCAAGACCAAATATTTTGGGGTTTCCGTGGGGATCTTGTTGCGACATCACCCCAAAAAAATTGTTTTTAGCATCCTGCATCCTCCGGGCACTTTGGGGACAAATCCAGCAGGCAGAGCACAGCTCATCTTTGCCAACAGCCCCTTCTGCCCCTGCCCCGTGTTGGCTTCAAGTGTTGGTGAACAAATAAATGCTGGGGCAGATGTTTGGAGCACAGGTCCCCTCCAGCTGGAGCTGTTCCGGGGTTTTATGAGCCAGAAACTGAGTCTAAAGGTTCAGCTGAGCGTGGGGTGAATGCTCCATCACCCATCACCCCAAGCAGGAGCCATCAAAATAAATGGCCATCAAAATAAATGGTCAAGATCCTAAAGGAGCCACAGAGCCCTCTCTTTTCACACTCTGTCCATAAGGCAGCAGGGACAAATTCCCCCTCCTCCCCCCCACCTCCTCGTGCCTAGGAAATGGTAAATTGCTGGGGAGATAAGGAAGGGAAGGAGCTGTTGGAGGGTGGGGCGTGGTGTGTGACTCACTGGCTTTACTCCTGACACAAGAGCTGCATTTAACTACGACAGAAAAAAAAAAAAAAAAAAAAAAAAAAAAAAGAGGAAAAAGGAAAAATTAAAAAAACACCCCGGCAGCTGTAACATGCTCCACATTTATCATTTGGTTTCTGATCGCAGGTTTTAGCAGAAGAGCCAGGATGACTCAGGTGAAATCCAGGCTCTGGCCTGCAGCCAGCCAGGCTTTACTCGGTTTTATTGCCCCGGGCTCCGATCGGGAACAGAAACTGCTGTACCAGAGGATTTGGAGCCCTGAGCTGCATCCCCGGTTCCTCCCCAGACACCCCTGGGTACCTCACATCATTTCACAGTGCTCTGATGATGTCCAAATCCCCCGTGTGAACCAGATGAGCTCCCTTACCAAAAACATTCACGGGCTTCTGCTGAACGGCTTCTGCCTCTGTTTGGCTCCAGCCCGAGCTGACACGGTTCAGAGGGCTGGGGAGAGTTTCCGAGGAGCTGCAAACCGCTGAGACCTAATCATCCACACAGAAAAAGGGGATAGTAAAGGGCATCTTAAGTATCTCGGCACTCCCCAGCCTTTGGTCTCTTTATTTTCTGGGAAAAGAAGAAGATCAGCTCCCTCCAGAGCCAACTCGGGCTCTGTAACAGCCTGAACTCCCCTGCTGGGGGAGCTGGTTGTAATTCTACTGCTATTTACGGGGCGAGAAGGGCAGTTTGCAGCTTATTTTCTGGTGTGATCACTGTGTGGCCGTGCAGAAAACCACATTTCCTGGGAATTTTTGAGCACAGGTTGAGCACACGGCGGCAGTTCCTGCTGACACCATTTGCCACCATGAAATTATTGGGTTTAGATAATGTGGGTGTGTGTCAGAAATCTGGTCAGATTTCCAGCCCTGGTCACGTCCTCTCCCCCCTGAAACACAACCCCACAAAGGCTGGGTAAAACAGAAAAAAAAAAAAAGGTTGAGCATTGGTATTTAATTAAGGACCTTATTATATTTTATTGATAGTTCCCTATTAAATGATAACACCCCTTGTTCTCACTACAAATAAATTTTTCTTTGCTATTTCTGAATATATATATTAAAAAAGTGAAATGCTGGCTACAAACAGGAGAATCATAGAATAATTAAGTTTGGAAATGAGCTCTAAGATTATCAAGTCCAACCATTAACCCAGCACTGCCAAGGCCATCACTCACACATGTCCCCAAGTGCCACATCCACAAGTTTTTTTGAACATTTCCAGGGATGGTGACTCCCCCACTGCCTTGGGCAGGCTGTCCCAATGCCTGACCACCCTCTCAATGAAGACATTTTCCCTGATATCCAGTCTAAACCTGCCCTGGTACAACCTGAGGCAGTTTCCTCTCATCCTATCCCTTGTTCCCTGGGAGGCCTCTCTCATCTTTGAAATTAGGGAAAATATTAAAGAGGGACAGGATGAGGTGGGTTTATGTTCAAGCTCCAGCTCCTTCACTTGTTTTAGTCAGTTGAGCTTCCTTGTGGTTTCGGTGACAGGGAGTGGGACCCGACTGGGAAGGGTTGGAGCACCTTTCCCTGAGTGCCCAGGATGCTCCTTGGGGTTTGAGGAGGGAACTCCTGAAACTCTCCATGCCAAGCTGGGTGAGGATGAAGAGACAGCCTGGGCAGCCTTCACTGGGACGGGCACAGCCCTCTGAAAGGGGAATTTCTGCAGTGACAGCTGCTGAAAGGCTGTCACAATAAGCAGCAATCATGCACTGAAGAAACTTATTTTTCCTCCATTGACTACAAAACAGGATCATTCAGGACTGGGCTCAGAGCTTAAAGTCGGGGATGATGAACTGCACCTTCTCCAGCCGCCTGTGCTGACCCGGCGTATCATCAACGGCTCAAGCAGCAGAAGAGCGACGCAGATCCATCCTGCGATTAACATCAAGCCGGGACACGGCTTGAATGTGATCCTCAAATAACAGCTGAGCCCACAGAGGCGATGGATGCTCAACGGACATCCTTCCCGTGCCCTGGAAACACAGCCCGAGATTTATCAGCCCCTGGAATCACAGTGCGTCAGCTGGAAGAGTGAATCACGAGCAATTTAATTCTATTACCCAGAATAACCAGCAAAATTGAATACAGGCTCCCAAAATACTACATCTTGTACAGGAGGACGGAGGATCCCTGAGGTCTGAGGGGTTTTCTGCAGGTGGGATCTGAATTTATTAAACCTCCTCGGTGGGGTCTCACATTTTAGGGATGGAACTGGAAGTGGAGGCAGCAGCTTTGCCCTGCCCCAGCTTTCCTTTCACGTCTTCACAGAGCAAGGACAAGGGATCTCACGCCGATGGGCTCCTCCAGCCTTTGCTCCCTGAAATTTGGAAAACTCCAGAGGAGTTTGCATGGATAGGCTGTAGGAGGTGAATCCACAATTAGGTTTTCAAGAATGTAAAAAAAAAAAAAGCTGTGTAACACAAGAGGACCTGCATCCCATTCCCAACACAAACGACCTGCCATCGACCAGGGAGATCTTTAGGTCCCTCCATTTCCATTCCTAAACCAAGGGCAGCTTTGGATTTACACCCCAGGTAGATGGGAGGAGTGGCCGTGTCCTTGCATCGCTCCCCTCGATTGCTTCTCACCGTTATTACCCCGAGATATCGATAATGCAATTTCCAGACTGGACTGTTCCCTGGCAACACATGGCTTGAAACTATTCCTGCAAATTTTCCCCTGCCATTCGTGTCCAATTGAGTCAGAATCAAGTGGC